ATAACCAGAGTCTCCTAGAGGGAAAGCCGGAGTTTGTGTATAGATCTATATGGGGGTGACACCCCATACCTGAGCTGTTCGCTACAGTTAGACTAGGCCAGCCTAGGGTGACAAACCTTACCTAACAAGTCGGCGTCTGAAAAACGCCATGACGGGCGGATTAGTCATTATCAAGTATGGTTATAACGACTCACTTAGAGGAATTAACTCCATTATAAAAATTTACGGAATACCTTTACAGTTTGGTAACACAGAAACTTACACTGATAAGACTACAATGTTTTTATAGACATACAATATCGGATTGTCTGGGACCATTCACTTTATACATTTTCAAACATTAACACACATGCATTAATACGAGATCGGACACAAACATTTCAAATTGTTTTTCAGAAAATATCGGATTTTATGGTGTTTACAAGTAATATAAAACATTTTACTCAAACATGCTTATGAACTCACCAACATTATATATTTTGACCCTTTTCAAATTAACTTGTATTCTCAGGAAATCGTTGAGCAGGTTGGTCAGCAAGAATACCTGGATATTTTGTTGTGTTTTGTTATCATCATACTTTGAATATTTTGGCATGTAATTTGAAATATAATACTTGATGTAAACAATGACAGTTGTAATATTGCATGTGTGATGATGATGATGTTTGGTTTCAATTATGTAAACTGTGATGATACTACAAAAATGAAGTCACCCAACCCCCGGACGTTTCCGCCGTCTGGTTCGGGGGTGTGACACTATTAGATGTTTGAAATGAAAATTTTATCTGGAAATTTCGGGATGTTACTCGTTCTTCATATGCACGCTCTCGGTTTAATGACTAATATAAATTTCGTTTAGGTTACATAGGCTGAAAAACAATTTATCAAAAATTCACTTTTTACGATACACAGAGTCGTGTCGGTTTAACCGCTTAACTTCGAGGAAGCATAACTTCTTCATATGAAGTCGGTTTCAGAGTTCTTTATATGTACGGAATCTTTGTCATATACATTTTAACTTTTATTAAGATTATTTATCCTAAATAATCTTCTATCAAAAAGTCATTTTTAACGATTAATATATCTTAATCGACTAGCCCGAAATTGTGGGAGTTACATCTGCTATGACATTAGCATCCATTTACTAAAAACAACATCAAATAATTGAAACAAAGCATCGGGTGGTATGATTTTCAAATAACATAAACAAATTCTTTGTATTCTGAATAATGTTTGATATGACATTAGCATCCATCTACCAAAAACAATATCAAATAACATAAACAACCCATCAAATAGTATACTTTTCAAATAAGGAACACAAATTCTTTGTATCTAGGAGGATCAAGAGTTGCAACTTGACTAATTCTTTGTATCTAGGAATCCAGATTTCTAATTATTATCTAAACGTAAAACATAGTAAAAAAAAAAGGTGAATAGGAGAAAGCAGGTCATTTATGACTATGATATAATCACCACCAGAAACAGAAATCTAATCAAATTCAATGAAAAATTTGAACTCATACATGTAGACAAGAAAGTTCAAAAATGTGTATTCACTACACCTAAAAAGGCCTTAATCGAAGATGAAAGTGTAAAAATAGAAGCTTAGAAAGAATCGACGTCTGGAGGAGTGTACGGAGGTTGAGTCGCTAACGTCTGGTATGGCCGGAGGTGGAGTTACCGGTTGGAGCTGTGACCGGAGATAGAACAATTCAAGCCATCTGATGTGTATATACTCATAAAGTTGCAAAATTATTTTAATGTGAAAGGAATTATGTATGTGTGTATATGTATGTGTGTATATTACATAGGCTGCAATGAGCCATGGCCAATGGAGAAGCACATTACTGGATATCGCGGTATAGCCTTGTCGATTGGCGATTGATATTTCACCCCAATTGATAAACGAACATAAATAGAACCATAAAAATTCAATTGAAACATATTATAAGGAAAATGATACACATAAAATTCCATTTCAGTTGAAGCAAATCATGAAATTAGACATGTGATCGACATCGTTATGGTTAAAGAATCAAACAACTAACCACTTCTGATAAAATACCTCAATACTTCCAGGTTGACATGGTTCAAAAACTTTCAATTGTAGCATCAATTGATAAGTAATAAAATGGTGGTGGACGTTAAATCGTATAAATACATAGATGACCGTTAATTTTGGAAGCGATTATGTTGACCGTGTCTTTCGATCTTGCTAATCAACCCAAAAATCTCGATGATAATGTCTGAATCGTGTTCCCTATAAAGAGGTGGATTGTGTTCCATATAAAGAGGATCGAGATTTACATCATGTTACTGAGTTCGACTTAACGATGGAAAGGAAGTGAAATCGATGAAATTGAAAAGAAATTGTTGTTCCTAAGTTATGAAAAGAATTTGAAGATAGTTCCCTCCTAACTTTCCTTCCAATAAGAAAAAGGGAAAAAAATGTTTATTTTTTCTTACTAAATTGATTTTACAACTAATTGGGTTTGTATGATTTGTATACATAAATCGGTTGAACTAAACGCCTTATAACTTGTTAAGGAACACTACTAGAAAAATAGCCTTTTACGACGCGCAATGCGTGTCGTAAAACACTCAGACGACGCGCAAATGCGTGTCAAGAAAGGCCCTGTCATAACGAGAGACGACACGCTTTTGCGCGTCGTCTATTTACGACGCGCATTTATGACGCACGTTTACGACACGCATTGCGTGTCAAGGAAGGCCCTGACATAAAGGAAGATGACACGCATTTGCGTGTCGTAACCTTACGACGCGCGTTTAGGACACGCATTGCGTATCATTAAAGCCCCTGTCATAAAGAAAGACGACACACATTTTTGCGTGTCATAATTTTAAATGTTTTAAAATTTATATATTTTGATAGATTTAGTAATTTTCAAATTAAATAACACATTAAAAATCTTATAATACAAAATAAAATACAATAAATAAGAAAGATAATTCATTGCATTAATATGTCAAATACAAATTATCATTCCAATAGTAAGTAATGTAATACATTGCTAATATTGCATAATATTTATTATAGAAAAGCAAAACATGTACAACATTAAAAGGAACCCGTGAGTAATTTATGCTTTGACAATCTTCATGGCAACTTTAAGCCTTGCAACCTCACCATGGTATTGAACTTCGCCACCACCGACCTAAGAAAAAAATTGCGTATTAATATCAAAAAACAAGATAGGATCCAATCATTCTATGACACAAGGAAAAATATCACTAGAGAACTGTGAAAAAAATATGTATGGGTGGGGAGTGGAGAAATGTAAGTAGTGTAACAACGTGATTTTTCAAAACAATTTTTTATTTTTAAATCATACTTTCAATCACACGATAATCATAAAACATAATGTATTCACTGTGTCATAACAAAACATGTCCCAGAATCTCAATAACATAAACTCCGTAAGTGTGTACGAATCATGCCGGCGCCTTCCCGCGATCCTCGCTAGTACCTGAAACACATATCATAACAACTGTAAGCATAAATGCTTAGTGAGTTCCCCAAGATACCACATACAACACATACGCCTTTCCAGGCCATAACTCTGTAGGATCTTCCGATCCATGTGTCTCAAGGGACTTCCGTCCCGAATCCCGGTAGACCTTCCGGTCCTACCCGTATCGACCTTCCGGTCCGTAACCACTTGACCTTCCGGTCCATATCATCTTGACCTTCCGGTCCATATCATACATAACATACATAACACTTACATATCACATAACAACATACAGCTCATACATCTCATAGCATATAAGACCTTTCGGTCACACATAGGTACCCTTCCAGGTACAGTATAGTGAGAAGACTCACCTCAATGAAGTCGGATAAACTCTTGTGCTCAACGTCCCGACTTAGCCTCCTCCTATTATTCAAATAGCATCTCCGATCAATATTCTCTCATGATCTCATCTCTACAGATTGGGTAGAAGGCCATTCTACCCTTCCCTGAACTCTCCTGAATCAGTCTTGACCAGAACCCTAAAGTCAACGGTCAAACTTTGACCCGACTCGTCGAGTGCACAAGAGCGACTCGGCGAGTCCATACGGGTCCTCTGAATCCTTTCAGCCTCTCTTGGCTTGTCGAGTCATCCTTCCACTCGACGGGTTACACCTGTCACGAATCGCGGGGCAACCCCGACTCGACTCGTCGAGTCCACTTATGGACTCGGCGAGTTGCTCCCATAACAACTCTCAAATGACCTTCTGAGGTCAGATCTGCTTCTCTAAACTATAGATCTGACCTTCAAGTGCTCAAAGGTCACGTAAAGGTGCAACCTTTACGTGCATGCAACCCACATCAAGTCATAAATGGAGAAATAACTCTAAAAATGGCAACCTAGTCTCCAATCCTCCATGAACAAGCATAAAGCAGAATGGGAAAGGTTCTCTGGACCTCTATGGGTCCAGATCTGAGGTCTAACCCAGCAAGGGACCATAACCTCAACCTTTCAAGCCTTAAAAGGTTTATAGAAAACCCTAAATCATAGATCTTAACCCAAAACAGAAGGGAAGTTCGATTTGATACCTCAATAGTGTAGATCTAAACTTGAAAGCCCTGGATCCACAGCTCCCTTGACCTCCTCTTGTTGGAAACTACTTCTCTTTTGCTAAAACACACAAGAAATGGTGAATTAGCCTTCCTCTTGCACCACAAACGTTCTCTTTCTCTGTCTAGGGTTTCCCAGGGGTGAAGTGGCCACAATGGAGGCTATAAAGGCCTTTAAATAGGGCACAGGCCCCGAGAATTAGGGTTTCACTTAACAGCGCGGACTCGCCGAGTCCACGCATCGACTCGTCGAGTCCTTCATTAAATCAGACCAGAAATGCGCGATCCCACTCGGCGATTCTGAGCGCCTACTCGCCGAGTCCCTCTCTAAAATTCAATATAAATACTTAAAATAAGATACCTAGGAATCCGGATGTTACAAGTAGAGTACCTTAGATGTAATTGTGGAACCAGTTATGCTGATAAAGTTAGCTCCTGCTTCATTTGCAAGTGCTTTGGCAACAAGTGTTTTCCCAAGAGGCCCAAAAAGCAATATTCCTTTGCAAGGCTGACAACAAAAATTGAAAGAGCAGTTGCATAACAACATAGACAAAGCAAAAGAAAGCCAAACAAACAAGCAGATCTAAAAGGGGATAAAATCTTAGATCATGTTACTAAAACAAAACCTATTATACTTTAACATAAAACATTAAGAAAACAACACCTTCTGGAGTGCGTCTCTATAAACATTTTCCTCACTCCTTCAAGAACAGCTTCTCTAGAAGCTTCACCATTGAGTCCATCATTAAGAACAGGATCTGATTGGCATAAAATAATAGCAACACCTTCTGGATTGCATCTCCTACCAAAAGTATGCAATCCAACATAATTTGACTTCACTGCACCATTATTGTACACCAACACAGTGGGAATATTACAATCTGGATAATTAGGAATGCAATGAGTTGATATAATCTTGACAAATTTGGTAGCTGAATACATTGTTTCCAATTCTTCCACACACTGCATTAGAACTCCACACTCTGGGTACCTATTCAATCACAAGTTCCCATTAACAACCATATAATCAAAATCAATTGCTAATCAATAACAAACAAGATAATAGTTAATTAGTGATTACCCATATTTGTATGGAATAACAACCACCAACACATCAGATGGATCTTGTGATACCTCACGCACAAAATCGGATCCTGAAATGGGAATGACTGACCGAAACTTTGCAACTTTCACTGTTTGCTTCATCTCTGCTAACCTCTTTCTCCTTCAAGAACATAAAAGAAAATGAAACCATGAAAATATCACATGAAGTTTAATGCCCTCATAAAATGAGATTAGGATTGAGGGAGTTGAAAGTACCTGCATTCTTCGAGGAAACAATTGTCATCAAGATCATCTTCTAAATCTTTGAGTTCTTCTTATGTCATGTTATCGATCCGAGATTTGGTTTTAGGTTTGGAATCTTCATCTTCTGCAGGAGTGAAATGATCGGGTTTGAAGGCAGTGGGTTTGGGAGGTAAGTTCCTGAGTTTTCTTTGAATATCATCCCATTGATTTGATGCTCCTTCAACATCTTTGTACACAAAGTGAAGATCAGCTTTATCACTTGGCTCCCAAGATCTCTGCAAGCATAACAAATAATGGGTATTAAGACTTAATAGATTACTAGAATATGTCCAAACAGCTAGTGTAAATGGATAAACCATCTCAGGAGATGCATAAATTTCACTTTATTGATTGCTTCAGAATTCATGTCATTGATTCACATTATACACACGTCTATAGTCTATACCAATAAATTCCAAAAACTTTGCTTGATTGCTACATGCTAACAGTTTACTTCATTGCTTCTGTCCCAATTACCACCAGCAAAGGGACTAAAGGAGACTACCTTCATAAATCATACCCAAGATTGGCAATAATAAAATGGAATAGACTGCTCTGCAAAAATAAAATAAAAAATACAGACCCTGAATAATGCAGTTTTCACATCCTCAAGAGCACCAATGTCATCAAACGTTATTCCGATTTCACCCGGTAGGACCACTGCTGTCCACAACACTCTTGAAATCTGATCATCCTCCTAAGGAGGGTCTCACCCGACAATAACTCTAATATTTCCTATTAAAAGAAAATAAATCGTCTAGATCAGTTAAATGAAAACTAGGTCAGCACTAGCTAGACCATGAATGTGCAGACCTAAAACAACAAGATCTTGGACCTCATTATATAGCTTTCAGAACTTAGCGGGTCCCCACCAATCACGCCTCGACACCTGGACGACCCACACACACATTTTTTGGCTGCAGCCCCAAAGACCCTTACATAGTTGTAATCAAATGTCAGTTCTTCCCCCTGAAACTCAACAAAGTAATCAAACCAGCATGACAAAATTTAACTTAAGAATATAATATACCATGAAATGTGAATACAATAGACATTACGTAAAAGATATAGCACTGTAGTTACATTTATATGTGTATTATAACAAATAATATACAGCAAAAGATGTGCATACCTTCTTAATATCTCTTATTGCAAAAAGTCCAATGCAGAGTTCCCCATTAATCATCCACTGGTCAGATAAAACACAAATTAAGTAGTAAGTTGACAAATTAAACAACATTCAAGCATATATTTTCCAGTGAGAATGTAAATTTATGAAGAAGTGAAATTATGATGCTATATATAAGTATAAGAAACAAATTAATGAAAACCCAAAGTAACATACTTGTTGAACGATAGCCACACTGCTTCCACAACGCTGTACAACAACCATGAAAGATCTAAAACTGCTTTCACCAGTAGCAGTAGCAACTTCTGCCTACATCATAATTCATGACTCTCATCTCCTTTCAAATACTTTTAAATATATATATATATATATATATATATATATATATATATATATATGTGTGTGTGTGTGTGTGTGTGAAATATAATATATAGTGTGTACGAATATTGAAAAAGGCTTACAGCAGAAGCAGCTGCAGCAGCCACTCTTCTACTAACACTGGTGCCTAATACAAACCTCTCCCTCAAAGTTGCAGCCTCTGTGAGGCCATTTCTGACTTTTTCAAGCCCTTCTGTTGTATACTGACTCACCTGCACCACAAAACATAATTACATTATATGCATATGCATATGCATATGCATATGCATATGCATATGCATATGAGGAAGGGAAGTAGATACAATCTGTAAAGGGAATTGCTTCTTCATTCCAGCGCACAAACTCTGTGACAACTGTAACAGAGATTTATTGGTGGGAAGATGATATCAAAGCACCTTTTGAACGTCGAATTGACCCTGTTGACTCTCCCGATAGCTGGCTTTCAGAAAGCAGTTCCTCTATCTATATGCGTGACCTAAATCCTTAAATTTTTTGAAGAGATGACACTTTTTTAATGTCACACACCTTTGCGTAACATAAATCAACGAGTGTCGTGGTTTGCGCGTCGTAAAAGGCTATTTTTGTAGTAGTGGAAAAGAGCGGGAAAAATATAGCACCATGACCATGTGTCGCAAAATTTACTCTTGTAGTATTATACTAGAGATAGAGATATTTAATATTTAGACAAAATTTCACAATTGGTCCCTGTGGTTTACAGAATATCGCACTTTGAAGACTTCCTAGCAAAAAGTCACGCAACTGGTCCCTGTGGTTTGTAAAATTACATGAAAGGTTCTCCTGCCGTTAAATCTAACTTTTCAGCTGTTAGATTTTAATGGAAAAGACTATTTTGCCCTTGTACCAATATTGCAATACACTACAAACCTCAAGGACCATTCATGTAATTTTATAAATTTGAAATTTTATGTATATATTAATTATAAATATAAATTCCGTATATATATAAATTATAAATATAAATTTTATATATATGTATATATTTTTTTTTTCAACAACTTGATAATTTTTTTTTATCCTTTTGACATTTTATTTTCTATTTTTATTTTATAATTTTAGTTATTTATGGTTTTTTTTATGTTTTTATTTATTTTGATTCAAGTAAATAAACTTAAGTTCGATAAACCATATCGAAACCTTTTTTTTCTTAATTTTGAAATGAAACGTTAATGTTTTTTTTTTATTTTTTGTTGTTATGGTTTTTTTTTTTTTTTTTTTTTTTGACTTTGATGTTCTATAGTTAATATCGTTAGCAACTTTATGTTTGCATTTATCATTATCATTATTTCACATTTTGTTGTTGATATATATATATATATATATATATATATATATATATATATATATATATATATATATATATCTATATATATATATATATATATTTAGATTCAAGTAATGAAAATAGAAAAACAAAAAACAAGAAGTAAAACCCCAAAGTTGTAAAATACTCTAATATATTAATACATTTTACACTTTTCATATTTTTTTTTTTTTTTTTTTTTTTTTGCATTTTTTTATTAATTTTGGTTATTAATGGTTTTCGTAACTTTTTTTTATTTTGATTTGTGTAAATAAAAAAGTTATGTTTATTTTCTTTATTTATATTTGTAAATATAACTATTTTATTTACGCGAATCAAAATAAAAAAAGTTACAAAACCATAAATAACCAAAATTATAAAAAACAAAAAAACTCAAACACCAAAATTGTAATATACTCTAATATATTCATACATTTTACACTTTTTGGAAAAGGCCAAAAAAAAGTGATCACGTTGATGAAAAATAAAACGAAACAACGAAAAAAATAAAAATAGGAAATAATTAAAAAATCAAAAATAGGAAATAATTAAAAAATAATATGAAAAAAATTAAAAAAAAAATAATAAAAAAAATTTTAAAAAATACGAAAAAACCAAAAAAAGATGAAAATGTAAAATGTATTAATATATTAGAGTATATTAGAATTTGGTGTTTGAGTTTTTGTTTTTTGTTTTTCTATTTTTCATTACTTGAATCAAAATAAATAAAAACAATAGAAGAATAATAAATAATTAAAATTATAACAAAAATAGAAAACAAAAGGTCAAATAATGATAATGATAAATGCAAACTTAAAGTTGCTAACGATATTAACTATGGAGCATCCAAAAAACATTAACAGTAACGGCATAAAAAAAAAAAAAAAAAAAAAAAAAAAACATTAACGCTTCAATTCACAAATAAGAAAAATTAAAGAAAAAATAATTTCGACATGGTTTATCGAATTTAAGTTTATTTACTTGATTCAAAATAAATAAAAATATAACAAAAAATCATAAATAACTAAAACTATAAAATAAAAATAGAAAACAAAATGTCAAAAAAAAAATTATCAGATTGTTGAAATTATATATATATATATATATATATATATATATATATATATATATAAATCCAAAATGCGAAATTTATAATTTATATATATACATAAAAATTTCAAATTTATAAAATTACACGAATGGTCTTTGAGATTTGTAGTGTATTGTAATATTGGTACAAGGGAAAAATAGTCTTTTCCATTAAAATCTAACTGCTGAAAAGTTAGATTTAACGGCAGGAGGACCTTTCATGTAATTTTACAAACCACAAGGACCAGTCATGTGACTTTTTGCTAGGAAGTCTTCAAAGTGCGATATTCTGTAAACCACAGGGACCAATTGTGAAATTTTGTCTAATATTTATTGTTTTAAAATAATTTTATTTTTTTCAAATTTTTACCCAAACAAACCGTTGACAAACCATGGTACTATACAGAAATTGAGAAGTCTTCAAGGCTAACAGGAAACGTGTTTATGATTTGGAAGACAGATTGTCTTTTACTCGTTCACAGTCAATACACACATTTCTCTGTGACTAAATCAACAGGCAAGTTAGAATGGATGACTTTATAGAAGATGGGTTTTTCCTATATACGATACGATCATTTCGATAAACTGTTCTAATTCCATATCGCCACCTCCCCCACAAGGATCCATGATCATCCTCGCCCAAACACTCCTCTTATGGCTCTCAATTATCTTCATGTATTTAATCAATACTATCACCCTAGCTCAACATTCGCTCATTTATCGTTACTGTGAAAACGCAACTAATGATACCAGAAACAGTACGTACCAAAGAAATCTCGACAACACCCTCTCCGGCCTCCCCAACACCAACTCTGGATTTGGTTTCTACAACTTCTCCACCGGCCAAGGAAACGACAGAGTCTACTCCATCGCCCTTTGCCGGGGGGACGTCAATTTCGATTTGTGCCAGAGTTGTCTGAATGTCTCTATTGTTAGTTTGCGAGAAAACTGCCCTAACCAACGTGAAGCGATGATATTCTACGAGTACTGTTTGTTGCAATACTCCAACGAGACTATTTTGGGAAACCCTCGAACAAATATGACTAGATTTATGTGGAACCTTGGAAATGAAACCGATCAGTCTCGGTTCAGTGGGTCTCCGGGGCCATTGTTGAAACGGCTGACAGCGGATGCGGCTGCTGGTGGTCCGTTACAAAAGCTTGCCGCCGGAAACACGACTATACCCCCTTTCTCAACGATTTATGGGCTTGTTCAGTGTACTCCAGACTTATCAGAAGCGCAGTGCAGTAGTTGCTTGGATAAGTCACTCAATACGTTTGCTAGTGAGGTCTATACTGGGAGCAGTGGAGGGAGAGGTCTTCTACCCGCGTGTAATTTTAGGTACGAGACATATGAGTTTTTTAACATGAGTACTATGGTTATGTCCTCACCATCACCGCCAATCTGGCTTCAACCACCACCAGGTAACATATGTATTCTTATTATCGTAATGTCCAGAATTAGAGCAAATATATCAACTAGCTACAAGAATTGATTGAAATCTTCTTCCGATCATATCTGTAAAAAAATTGATACAAAACCTTGCGATAAGTTGCAAGAAACTCCAACTTTTCCGATACAACTGTAAAAAAATCAACAAATTTTGTTTTTTTTTCTTTCTTTCTTCAAAATAACTGAAAAGAGGAAGGGAATTTTTGTGTTTGTGTATTTGTTCATTTAAAAAAATTACATTATTAATTTGTGGTCGTTAGTTGATATGTTAAACGGACATAAATTAACATATATCAATGTAAACAAACATAAATGATAAAATGAATATATGTAGATAAACGAACTAAAAAACATCTTGAAGGGCGAACATATACAAACACGTTGTTAAAAACAATTGTTGAAAAATAAATTTAATTCGTAACAAAATTTAAACCTAAACCAAAAATATAAAATTACAAAGGAAAATAACTTTGTTAATCCTCATGTAAATATACAAAAACATGACTTAGGTTAATTTTATTTTTTTCCAAACTCAATGATATTTAAATATTTTAACAAGTTGTTTACTTATGTCCTTGTCTAACTTAGAGCATCATTAATAAAGACTTATATTATATTTTATTAACCGATTATTGTCATTGGATTATATTTTTTATATATAATATGATTAAAATATTTTAATCGTATTTCATTTTACCCTCTTAAATATATTTTAATTTTTAATATCTTTTATTACTTACTAATTAATTATTTCTACTAAACGTGTAATCACATTTCAATTATGAATATAAAATTATAACAGTTATATAATTTTTTTTAATCTTTTTTATGACTATGACGTGATAATTATTTCGTATTAATTTTTCCAAACGATATGATGATATGTTGTATTTTTTTTTAAACAATATATTGTAATATTTCTAATAAGTTAAAATACATATGTATTAAAAAATTATAGAATATTTTAGATATATATTAATCAATTAATTATATTTTTATAAAAAAATTATTTGAAAAGATCGATCACTAAAAGGGTTATTTAATTAGAGATTAAATTTAATGGAAAAATTAGATAATAATAATTTTAGATTATAATTAAGATTTATCCTTAGATTAGGTAAAACTAAATATTCTTTTACCTTTTGTTCTATTTATCTTTATATTAATATAAAATCACGTCATTCGAAATATATTAATTATTTTCTTTTAGTTTTTTTGGTAATTTTGATAATTATCTTGAATAGAAAAATTAATATGAAGAAATTTGATTTCTCTTATATTAGAGATGCTTTGATATACTTCCAAAAAAATTTAAAAAATTAAAATGGGACACGCAAGGTTGTAGGTCCTAGCACGTTGAATATTTGAAGGTTTACTATTTCATGATGCTATAATTTGCAAAGAAAATTTTATAAGTTAGGATAAAAAAATTATATTGTTTACCGGTAGGTAGGGTGTCGATTGATAGCATTTGAAATTTGAATTTGTGTTTGTGTCAATTATAAAAACACGACGTCGTCTCGTGTCGTGTTCATGTTCATGTTCAAAATTCGATACGAAATTGACATGATTTAGCATTTGTTTGTTGTGTTTTTCGTGTTTGTCGTGTTATTTATGATTAATTATTAATTAAATAAAATAGTTGTTATTTTATGTTATATTTATTATATCGTGTTGTGTTGTCTTTTTTAAATTGATTTGTTTTCGTGTTAATTAAAAAAACACGACATCATGCCATGTTATGTTCGTTCATTTTACATAAAACATTGTCTTATTGTGTTGTGTCAGGCAAAAACATGGTACGATTGTCCAATTTGCAACCCCTGGTGACTTGGTAGTGAATTTGAGGGATTATTATAAAATGTCATATAATATATAAAATATATCTAATTTTCTGTAGTGTTCAATGATTTGACTATATTTTTAAAATATGGTATTACGAATCACGAATGGAATCAATTTTGTTTTAGACTACTTTTATTTATGGCAAATTGCAAGAAAGTCAATATATTACCATAAAATTTTGATTTAGACACCGAATTTTTTTCTCAATTATGTTACTATATTTAAAATTGTGTTGCAATATCAACCAAATGATCGGTTCTCTCTGTTCTCTTAGTAACCACTTTTTCCGAATTCCAATAGTCACTAGGTTTACCAAAATTTCGATTTTGACACCGAGTTTGTTTTTCGATTTTAACACCGATTTTTTTTTCTCAATTATGTCATTACATTTACAATTTTGTTGCAATGCCAACCAATTGACCGATTCAGAAGATGTTATTGTAGTTTAGAATCTCGATTTGTACAACGAATAAATGAAGGTATGTTCATTTGTTCAAACTCACTTACAAGTCAGCGAAAATGGCACAGTCACCCTTTCAGGAGATATTATTATGGTTTAGAAGCTCGATTTGTACAACAAATAAATGAAGACCCTTGCAAGGTCGATTTAGTGGTTCAAACTCACTAAGCATCTCCTGGATCTTACTTGTAGGGGTCTTCATTTACTTGTTACACAAACCGAGCTTCTAAACTACAATAGCATCTCCTGAAAGGGTGAGTACGCACTTTTCAAAACTGACTTTTAAGTGAGTTTGAACCATTAGATCAACTAAAAAAGATATGTGAAATTGGGTTCAATGCAAATCCTATATTTTAATCTGAATCCTACCACATAAGGAGATCTTACATGACTTCCACATCACAATATTGTCATGTCATTTATTTGGTAACCTGCTAGAATTATGGTAACCGGTCAATTGGTTGACATTGCAATATCAACAACTTTGGTTGATATTGCAACAATTTTTTTTAGATATTGCAATAATTTTGTTGATATTGCATCAATTTTATTGATATTGCAATGTCAATCAATTGACCGGTTACCATCAATCTAGCAAGTTACCAAATAAATGACATGGAAATATTGTGATGTGGATGCTACGTCAAATCTTATGTGGTAGGATTGAGTATAAAATATAAGGTTTGAATCAAACCTAATTTCACATATTTTTAGGTTGAACCAGTGGTCCAAACTCACTTAAAAGTCAGCAAAAAGGGCGCACTCACCCTTTTAGATGACACTTTTTATTATAATGTTTAATATTTAATATTTAATTATCGTCAGAGTATTTCTTCACAAGTGGCATCTGAAGGTCAATCTTGTGGTCAAACTCAATTAAAAGTCAGTGAAAATGACATATTCACCCTTTCAGGTGATGTAATTATAGTTTAGAAGTCGATTTGCACAACAAGTAAATAAAAACTCATATAAGGTCGATCCAGGAGATGCTTAATAAGTTTGAACCACTAAATTAACCTTGTAGGGGTCTTTATTTATTTGTTGTATAAATCGAGCTTCTAAACCACAACAGCATCTCTTGAATCGGTTAACTGGTTGACATTGCAACAAAATTGTAAATGTATTGACATAATTTTATTTATAAAAAAATTAAAAAAAAAATTGGTGTTGAAATCGAAATTTGTGGTAATATAGTGACTTTTTTACAATTTGAAACTCGGTGACAAAATCAAAATTTTGGTAAACTTAGTGACTTAATTTATTGCAATTCGGGAAAAATTGTTATTAGAATAACCGGTCATTTAGTTAATATTGCAACAAAATTGTAAATATAGTGACATAATTAAGAAAAAAAATGGGTATCAAATAAAAAATTTATGATAATATAGTGACTTTCTTGCAATTAGCCGTTTTATTTAACAAAATATATTTTTGAAAAATAAATATTTTTATAAAGGGTTTTAGACTAAACTTGTGGACGAAGTAAAAAATTTATATAATTTGATATAACATGTGTTAAATCTAAAGAAAATTTTCAAAATTTAAAAACAAAATCTTCATTTTTATTGAAACTTAATAAAAAAATTAAGAAACATAACAAAATCGAATTTGATTACCATACAAAAAATATACCAATTAGTTGAAAACCATTGATAATAAGTATTTTGTATTATGAAAGTTCAAAAACATATCCGAAATCCAACAAGAAGTTAAGAAAGTGAACTAAACCGGAAATTTATTAATATGTATGGATTAAAAATGTCATTTAACTGAAACATATTTCAAAATTGTAAGAATATGTCTGGAATTTAATAAGAAAAAATGTACCAAGAATGAAATAGATGGTGATAAAAATGAATAAAAAAAATATCATTTGGTTGAAAACCCAATTATAATGGATATATTATAGTTAAAAGGTAAAAGAATATTTTTCGAAAATGTTTGGTGCAAATAAGAAAAAAAATCAAATATTCTTCTATATATTGTTTCTGTTTATCTTCTTACCATTAGACCAACGTCAAAATTAAAAAATACATATATTAAAAAATTATTAACAGATGTTATCATTTAATATAAATACAAAGATGTATAAAAACAAAATATATAAAATAATTAATTTCTCATAAAAAGAAATATTTAGTTTTTATGTCTCTGATCCTAGATTGTCAATATTGATGAATTGTAAACTTTGAGTTATTATCTCCTGAAATAATATAGTTATTTTTTGTCATTATCTCCAAATTTAAGGATAACACCCACATATTCAACTGCATTTAATCAGCACGATTGAATGATGTATAGACCCTTTAGTAACTTTGTCAAGAAAAATGGGCAAAGAATCTTTTTTGGTAAGTCCTTTGATATTTTGTCAAATATAAATATGAAAATAAATAGGTATAAAATGTAGAGACATTTAATTTCTCTTTTAGGTAATGATCAAATTAAGTATTTGGCATAAAGAAATTGGGATAATGACTTGAAAGGGTAACGAACTTTCGATTTTGTTCACATTTAGTCACTAAACTTTTTTTCGTTATCTATTTGCCACTGAACTATTGAAACTGTTCACATTTTACCCTTATGACCGGTAACAACAGGTCATAAGGGTGAAATGTGAACAGTTTCAATAGTTCAGTGGCAAATAGATAACGAAAAAAAGTTTAGTGA